CTTTTGGAATGCCTCTACACTACATAAACCCTAGAAGAAATCTACCATTTCGCTTTCTATACACTTAATTAAATGATTATCGATTAAGATTTTTTAACCAATCTCGTAAACAGCATCAGTTGGATTTCGTTGTCACCTAAAGTCGAAATATAATGGGTCTCTTGCCTATAAACCAGCTCTTTGATGTATATGGATTGATAGGATACGTCTCATCATTTTTTTTTTTAAATGAATGTTAAATTTATTCAAATAAAAAGACCTTGTTTACAAAGATTGCCTCTGTTTGCTGAAAATTATTAACTGACTTTTGAACTTAGAGAATATAAGCTTTGAAGAAGAAAGAAGAGAGCTGCAGCTTTTCTATCGTGTGGCAAACCACTTAATGAGTCCATCAGCATAAGTTTGATCACCTGCAGATCGAATTGTGCTGATTCGATTCCGGACATTTTTGTGGATGAGCTTTATTAGTTGAGAAGCCGAAGAAGGGTGTTCTCCGTGACGTCTGTTGTTTCTCTCTCGCCAGATGTGGTATAGAGCTGACTGAAATGCATATCGAATTAAAAACAGGCTGAGTCGATCAGCATTTGAGTTGTGGAGAATGAGGAGCAGGTTATCCCAGCTTGTTGAGTAGTCGTGCTTTAGTAGATTCTTCATGAGGGCGTGCCAAACATCCGATGAATATCTACAAGAGAAAAACAGATGATCTCTTGTTTCTACAGTATGTCCACAAAAAATACAGTCTATTATTTGGCTGGAGCCCCAATTTCTGATTCTATGGATAACCTGTTATGAATCGCAAGCCAAGTTAGGAATGAATACTTTGGCGTTGAGTAAGAGAACCACACGCCTTTATACCACTCTTTGTGCGGCTTTATTTCCCGAATTAGGTCCTCCGTTGCTTTTGTGGAGAACTTCTTCCTGAATTGTCCTTTGAATGTCTCCAGAGAGGTATGTCTGCACCTGTCTTACTTTGCTGTTTAACTTTCTGAATCTCTTCCTCAATTTTGTTTAAAATCCCCACTCTATGTCTCCGCAAGCGATGGTTAGCAACAACTGTGACAACTGTGGCAACTGTGGCTTCAGAATTTATACCCAGATCAATAAAACCTCTAACGCCTGTTTTTTCAATAAGACGGCCGAGAGCGCTCCAGTCGTCGTGCCAGAACGACGTTGCTGCACCGTTTTGAATTTCAACTTTATGCAGTGATTTTGAGATTTCTCTGTACTTCATGATTTTCCTCCACATCCATGAGTCTGCATATGCTGTTACCTTTACAGACCAAAAAGATTCTTGCCGAAGTAAGGTCTTATCAACCCAATCCACCCACAGCGATGGCTGCTTTGAAACTATTCGCCATACTAATTTTAAACACCATACTTTGTTTGCATCATTGATTGATTTGAGTCCTAAACCTCCCTCTTGCTTAGGTCTGCATACCTCTCGCCAAGAGATCTTCGCTTTCCTTGGGTTTAGTTCAGGCCCGGACCATAGAAAAGCAGCACATAGCTTTTCAATCTCATCATTTTTATGTGAACAGGAGTATAGATTTCATGAGAGCGCTTGGGATTTAATTTTAGCATTATCTCCCATGCAATGGTATTTTCCTAAATATAAAGCAAATCATTGTGATGTTACCTTTGTGATGAAATGTGTATGTTTTTAAGCGTTGCTTGTAAATTTGACTTGTTGCACATTCCGACATAACAGAGAAATCTGCTGCACTTGCTGTCACTATGCTTCACTCTATGCTTATATCATTTGGAGCATAACACGTAGGTGAAGCCGAATCACTGCCTTGCCTTGTAAGACAAGGTTTTGGTTTCCCTGTAAGATTCTCTATCTCGAAAAGATCCGAACTTGAATCACTCCTTTCACTCTGTGTGTCTTCCTCCTCTGTTCTTGATTCCCATGGAAGCACACTGAGTTTCTTTTTAACAATAATACTCTTCTTCTCAATAATTACAGGATAGACTTCCTCTGAACTAACTCTTCTTGTTTCTGAATCTTGATCAGTTCTGTGATTAAATTCACAGAAGAACTCATCTGATTTTTACTTTTCTCGGCTTTTTGGCTAAGATCAAGTGTAGTATCTGTTCTTATCAGTTTAATATCTGATATGTGGGCTATCGGCTCATACGATATTAACTCTATTTTTTTAGGGAGAAAGCCTATCAAAATAGCTTGTTATCTGGATTTTTGTGAGTCGCTCATGAGTTGCACTACTGCACGGGCCTGGCTCAACCTACCAATCATTGAAACCAAATTTCTTTTTAAATCTTAGTTAAAATCAGCAAAGCGTATCGGTGATAACAACCACTATCCAATAAAGCGTTGCTTGTAAATGAGCGTTGAGATTCACCTTTGTGAAGAGCTTGTGACCTTTCCTTTAGATGTTTATTATTTCCTCATGTTCAATTGTATTACTATATAGCATACATAGATTCAAATTCAACTGAGTTTAGGAAGATTGAAAACTAAGATACAAAAGTTAATATAGTTTGAGTTTTTATAATGCAAAGAAAAGTCAAAGCAAAAAAGAAGAAGAATTCAAATTGTCACCAAGCACAAACAGATCATAAGTGTGACATTATTCATATGAAAACGCTTAGAGGTAAGAACGTTACTATGGGCTTAAAGACATCACAGTGGACATGTATTGGGATTGTGTTAAAAAGTGTGTAAGAGAGAGACGCATTTCTACTAAGAATATGTAGAAGCCGGATAATATATAACATCTTGATTCTGAGTTTCTCAAAGAAAATGGCGAAACATAGAGAAAAAGAAAAAAAGAAAAAAAACTAATTGCAAACCAAATTTCAAGAGTTTCCTGAATCAAGAAGAAAACCCCAAGAGAACCAAAAGGAGCAAGAACAACCTCATTCGATAATAGCCTGAATCACTCCCGCACCAACCGTCTTCCCTCCTTCTCTAATAGCAAACCTCATCCCTTGTTCACAAGCAACAGGCACAATAAGCTCCACAACGATCTTAACCCTATCACCAGGCATAACCATCTTCGATTCCTCATCCTTATCGTTCATAATCTTCGTCACTTTCCCAGTAACATCCGTCGTCCTCATGTAAAACTGCGGTCGATAACCGGCGAAAAACGGCGAATGCCTCCCACCTTCTTCTTTCTTCAACACATACACAATCGCTTCGAACTTGGTATGAGGAGTGATGGAACCAGGCTTAGCCAAAACCATACCTCTCTGAATATCAGCCTTTTGTATACCTCTGAGCAACAATCCAACATTATCACCAGCCATTGCTTCATCGAGAATCTTCTGAAACATCTCCACCCCTGTCACAGTGTAGTTCCTCGTCTCTCTCAGTCCAACCAAATCAACAGTCTCTCCTACTTTCACAGTGCCTCTCTCGACACGGCCCGTGGCTACAGTGCCACGACCCGTGATCGAAAACACGTCTTCAACGGCTAACAAGAACGGCAAATCCGTCTGCCTCGTCGGAATCGGGATGTAACTATCAACGGAATCCATCAATTCGTAGATTTTATCCACCCATTTGTTCTCACCTCTCTTCACATTCGGATTCGCAGTGAGTGTTTCAACGGCTAACAAGGCGGAGCCAGAGATAATCGGGATATCATCACCGTTGAATTCATATGACGAGAGAAGCTCACGAACCTCAAGCTCAACGAGCTCTAGAAGCTCTGCGTCATCGACTTGGTCCTCTTTGTTCAAGAAGACGACCATGTCGGGGACGCCGACTTGCTTCGCTAGAAGGATGTGTTCTTTCGTCTGCGGCATAGGTCCATCGGCGCCGGAAACAACGAGGATAGCTCCGTCCATCTGAGCAGCTCCGGTGATCATGTTCTTGACGTAGTCGGCGTGTCCAGGACAATCGACGTGAGCGTAGTGGCGATTCTCTGTCTCGTACTCGACCGTCGCGGTGTTAATCGTGATTCCGCGAGCTCTCTCCTCCGGCGCCGCGTCGATCTCGTCGTACTTCTTAGCGACGCTGCTCCCGATTGAAGCTAGAGCCATGGTTAGAGCGGCGGTTAGAGTGGTTTTCCCATGGTCGACGTGGCCGATTGTGCCGATGTTGACGTGCGGCTTCTTCCTCTCGAATTTGCCTCTGGCGGCGCGTACGGTGAACGCGCGACGGAGGCGCTGTTGGGTGGAGGAGGTGGCGACGGAGAGGGAAGTGATTGAAGGGAGGAAGGAGGAGGAGAGGGTTATGGATTTTGGTTTAACGGAGGTGGAAATGGCGGGAGAAGAGGAAGAAGGGGAAGGAGAAGCGTAGGAGTAGAGGAGTCTAGAGGAGGAAGAAGTAGCGGCGGGAGACGAAATCGCCATGGGAGATGAAAGATTGAAGCAGAGGAGAATTTTAGGGTTTTGGATTTGGTGGATTTGGGGGAAATTGGGGAGAGTGAAGAAAAGATTGTGGAGTGTATATTTGTAATGGAAGAAGGTAAGGAGGCAAAAATGAAGGGCTCTTATTAGCCTATCCGTTGCAGTGTGCAAAATCTTTTTTTCCCCAAAAAAATTATATATTTTTGTGTGTCAAATTGAAGAACATATTTACAATATTGATGAATGATTTAAGATTTGATTATATTAGTGAACAAATCACTGAAATGGTTACATACTAGTTTTTAGAGATGCTTGAATTACATATCCACTGGAAACTTACTTTGGTCTGAACTCTGAACCAACAAGATAACGTTAATATTGGTCACTGGTCAACTGTATTCGTATTTTATTACTAGAAAGCGTATGGAGAAAAAAAAAATTGGTAGAGAAAATTAACCAAAATGAACGAACAAATGTGTATTAGTTAGTGGCCATTTCTTGGCTTACGTGTGACCTTATAGACCAACAGAAAAGGTCCCTTTGAAGAGAAACAAATCGTGTCACTTATAAGAGCTGTTATCATAAATCGTGCCGTTTTTACAGTCAATAAACGGCAAGACTGTAAGCGATGTCATAGCCTTCTAAATTGTGATGTTGACCATGTTCAAGACATATCCAAAAATCAGCTTTTTTTTTAGCTGAAATTTGTAAATGACATCAAAATCGAAGGTAGGAACTTTAGGAGAAAGGATAAGACTTTGGGCGCAAAGAGAAATCACCGGATAAAAAATGGCAGCTTTGAGTTCCATGGCCATTTCATGTCTACATTCACTTTCGGGCAACGAAAGCTACTTCCTTTCATATAAAACATCCCAATTTTCAAAACCCGTGTTCATAAACCCATCCCTGAAGAAACCCAGATTCTCAGTTTCGTTTTGCCTCAAGGAAAGTGATCGTGACGAGGGCCAGATTGGACTAGAATCTAGCAGAGAAGAAGAAGAAGAAGAAGAAGAAGAAGAAGAAGAAGAAGAAGAAGAATACTGGGTTGTGACAGCCGTGAGAAGCAAGTACAATGAGATTGTTATAGTCGATACTGTTGCTTCCAGATACCTTCTCCTTGATTCAACTAGTGAGCTTTTTTCTAATCCTGAGTCCTCTTTTGGAAAATAAAAGTTGTATCATCGAAATCCTCTGTTTTTGTAACCTTGTTTTTGTTCGATATGTAGAGAATGTGCATAGTGTTATCAACAAGGGAGGCCAGAATTGGACTGGGTCTTATTGGGTATGTTAGATTTTTTCCATAGAATCATAGCCTCGTTTGTTTCTCTTTTGGGAGGTAAATGTGGTTTTGTCAAAGATAACACATTTTGTGCTAGTTGAATCAATGTTCTGTAAATGTGGTTTCGTCAATGCTCTGTAAATGTGGTTTTGTTATCTTTGATAAGATTTAAAAAGCTCAAGCTCACTAGTTGAATCAATGTGGTAAATGTGGTTTTGTCAAAGATAACAGAACATTGTAAATGTGGTAAATGTGGTTGATAAGATTTAAAAAGCTCAAGCTCAGTAGTTACATCAATGTTCTGTAAATGTGGTTTTGTCAAAGATTACACATTTCCATAGTTTCATAGCCTCGTTTGCTTATTTTTGAATCTTATCAACATTTTGTTGCAGGATGAGTTTGCAAGTTTGCCGCCTATTACCCCTAATGGTCCCATTGCCATCTATGGATTGGTGAGAACTACACTAAAGAATCTCATATAGATCTGTGGAAAATTGTCAATGATGTGATTACTTTTGTTCATATGTTTTAGGGTGGTGGAACAGCTGCAAGATTGATTCTTGAGTTGTGGCCTTCAGTGGAGCTTGAGGGTTGGGAAATTGATGAAATCGTATGTCATATCTATCTTGATGTTTCTTGCGGCATTGTCGTCTGCGTAGAGTTCACTGTGGTTTATTTTATGGACAGTAGTTGATTGAGAAAGCAAGACACTATCTTGGTTTATCCGAGCTAGAGAAACCGACATCGAAAGGCGGTAGTCTTAGTGTTCTTGTAGATGATGCTCTCTCTCCTTCTCAGGATGTTTCCGGAAGATATGCTGGTGAGTGTTCTAGATAACTGTATGTTGTTTATTCATGTTCGTGCGTGAGTTCTTGAATTCTTGAATCGTTGGTTTAGGGATCATTGTCGACTTGTTCGCTGATGGAAAAGTCTTGGATCAGCTGCAACAGGTACTACAAAACACTTATGGTTGGTTATTATTATTAGTCGCGTTTTAGTATTTTGATTTCGATTTCCTTTAGGTCCCTGTGTGGCTGGATCTAGCTAGCAGGCTGATGCCTAACGGTCGCATAATGGTGAACTGTGCCGGAATCGAAGAGGAAAAAGTTGAGGCAAATGAAAAACCTCAGCTGATTTTAGATGATTCGGTGTGGATGTTGAATTCTACCATCAAGATCTTGTCAGAAGCGTTTCCTGGACAAGTTAGTAAACACATTCCATCTTCCATCGTTTTGTTACTTTGCTCGATTTGAATGTGAAAAGTTAAAAACCATTTTGCGGATTATCCTCGATGCAGGTTAGCTGGAAGAGAACTCCAGATTCACAAGGTCTCAACTTTGTTGCCTTAACCGGAGGCTTGCCTGATCTTAGTGACTGGTCTAACAATGTTCCAGTCCGTTTGAGCGAGACAGTGAAGCAATGGAAACTTTGCAAGCACTCTTAACATGTGAGTTGTGACATCAAGAAATCAAAAATCAAAACTTGTAAGGGTTCTCAGCTAAAAGCACATGGCTTGGTTTTTTATTTTGATTTTTTGAGAGATTTGATGTTTAAGCTGGATTCGCCGATCTTCTATCTGGTGAAATTGAAATGGGACCTTGATTCTCTGGTTAAGCAATTTGAACCGGCCATATAAAGAGTCCGATTAGTTCATCTGATTCGGAGTTTATACTCTTTTGGTGAAAAAATATATTATAAAGAGATCAATGGCTGAGATGTCTTTGGCGGTTTGAAAATGATCCAATATACTCTTTTATTTTTTGGATTATTTTATAACATTTATTTTAAATAGAGAAAAGAAGTAGATATCGATTATGTTCCTAAAAGCTTAACAAAATTACTGACCCAACCAAGACAAACTCACCCAAACTCTAATTCATTGATATATCGCGGATCTTAGTTGGATTTTACTGTAAAAAACTGCTTAAATCACTCTTCATCTTTTCTCAATCGATCAAAAGTAAATTTTAGGGCAAATTTTTTTTTTTAAAAAAAGTGGACGAAACGACGATTGATCCTAGTTCGTCGGGACCACTACGAGTAGTTACTAAGAAAAACTAAGTCAAACTATCCAACTCTCACCACATCAATCAATTTGTAGGCGAATCAGAGAAGGTAAGTGTCGTAATCTTGTCGGTTTTGTGAGATGGATGTCGATATAGATTCCATTGTAACCGATTTAGATTGATCATGTAGGCATATGGCGCGTACAAGGAGACCGAATTATGGTTTAACTGATGAGGTTCCAGCGGAGGTTCGAAGATCTAAGAGAACCTCTCAGGTTGTCTATGAAGACTCGGACCCGGAATCTTCAGAGAACGAAGAAGCAGGAGGCGACGGAAGCAGCTAAACTGTCACGGACGATGGCGCATCCGATTCTTCAATGGTATGTACCCGAACCGTCGTTACTTGGTTTTCGAGTTTGAAAGAATTTATTGGTTTTGGGTATCGAGTTTGGTTAAAGTACTTTCGTTTTGGGTAATTGATTGTATAGCGAGTCTTTCTTTCTAATTTAGAATTTAGGCTATCAGGTTTTCATTTTCGTTGATTGTTGATTGTTTGTTTCGAATTAGTAATATTCTGAGTTTTTAGTAAAACTGGTAAAACTAGGGTCATTTCGTATGTTAAAAATTTCTGGAAAAAAAGTAATACTTGGTATAACTATGTTGCAGGGAACCGAGCCAATGCTTCTTATGGAGATGTACTTCCAGCCAACGGAGTACGTGAAAAAGATCAAGCTGTCTACAAGGTGTTATATCTCGAAAGCAGTGGATTTACTGCTAAGTGAATTAAAGTATCCACTTAGACTAGAGGAGAAGAGTTGGTTTGTGGATCACCCCCAATTCAAACATTTCTTCCACATGCACAAGGACTCAAACCACAAGTTAATGGGGATGTGGTTGCTGATTCTTCGAACGGCGGTTACGGAGAGGAAAAAGGAAGCCTGGTTCATTGTGAATGGCGTGCTCATTCGGTATAGTCTACGTGAACACGCCCTCATCTCCGGTTTAAACTGTCGCAGCTATCCTCCTAACTATTCAGAAATGGGCAATATGGAGTTCATGGAGAAGCACTTTGGGGCAGGGAAAAAAATAAGATACTCAGATGTGAAAGAAAAGTTGGAGAATATGAAATATTTTCCAGATCGGTTAAGGATGGCCATCCTTTTCTTTCTATCAAGCGTCATTATTGGGCAGTCTAAGACATGAGATGATGCTACTTGTGTGGAGGGGTTCTTTCAACGAGCAATCAGTGATCTGCATTTGTGTAGGACATTTCCCTAAGGGAGATTCTCTTTTGATAACAATATGGAAGAGATCCAGCATAATGTGGATCATTTTAAAGGGGTTGTTAGCAGATCAAATTGGACTTTTACAAGCTTTCTGCATTCCTTTGGAGGTAAATATAAATATATATAGTACTTGTATCTCCATAGATTTAAAGTTAACTCGAAATATATATGGCATACGTAGCTTCTAGTGTTTGAAGTAGCTTCTAGTGTTTGAAGCAACTCCATCACAGAAGAAGAAATTTCGAGAAGTTGTTCCATCTGCGAGGAAAACTTGTCCGAGGATGTGCAAGAGCAAGTTCAAAAAAAGCGCCATGAAAGAATTTTCTCTCGAGGAAATAAATGAAGCACTTGGTACAACTAAGGTGAGTAATACTTTTAAATTCAAACATTTTAAATTTTCACATTTTAATTTATTTATGATTAGAATTGCAATATTTGTTTATATCCTCAGGAGATTGATAGCATCTTGGTCCCTTATAATGAGGAAGAAGCTTTTGTGGCTCGAGTGACTGAAGAAGATGACGATGATGTTGTTGTTCATAGTTGGTTGAAGTGTATTAACGATGAAGACAAACCGGTCTGTTTTGAACAGATGTATGAAGAAGACGTGGCCGCCCGACTAGAAGAGCAGCCTGCCAATGCTGCAAACGCCGCCAATGCCGCCAATGTCGCCAACGCCATCAATGCTGCCACTACTTCCGTCGCTGACTTAGTTGAGGTCGTACATAGTCTAAAGATGGAAATGGAGAGTGGGTTCAAGGAGATGAATGACAAGTTTGTTGGGTTCGATACAAGACTTGCAGCAGTGGAAGACTATGTGAAAGAGCAATTAGATGCTCGAAGCATGTATGAGGACGTCGATTATGATAATTATATTCCTCGTTCTACTGTGAATAACAATGATGGAGCGGAAGGAGCAGAGGTAAGATTTGGTTGACTTAGAACTTTAAACAAAAAAGTTATACTATGTAATACTAAGTACAATTGTGTGTTTTGCAGGGAATCGAGCCAATGGATGAAGCACATGTGGTCCTGAAAGCAGATAAGGGAGCAGAAGAGGTGGTCCCAGAAGCAGATAAGGGAGCAGAAGAGGTGGTGGATGGAGAGAAAACAGCAGAGGTAAAATTTGGTTGACTTAGACCTCTAAACAAAAATGTAATACTATGTAACACTAAGTACAATTGTGTGTTTTGTAGGGAGAAGAGCAAGAGCAAGAGCAAGAAGCAGAGGTGGCGGAAGCATATGAGGGAGCAGAGAAGGGGGCGGAGACAGGCGTTGAGGAACCAGAGAAGGAACAAGAGAAGGAGGCAGAGACAGGCGTTGAACAGGAACTGGAGGTAATTTGTGTTTTGCAGGGAGTTTAACTGTTTGTGTTTTGCAGAGAGAAAAGAATGAAGCAGAGAAGGAGAATGAGGTAGAGCAGGTAGGAGAGGAGGAAGCGGCTAAGGAGGTAGAAGAGGCAGAGGAGGCAGAAGACCAAAGCGGTAATTCGCCTTCAATAATGCGATGTAGCATACTTATAAGAGTAGGAGGCAGAATGCTAAAGGTCCCTAACAAGTGTGTGGCTGCTCTTTTATCTAAAGCGGGCGACAAAGCTAAGAGATAGAGGAAGCTAAGGAGGCAGAGGGAGCGAAGGAGGCAGAGGGAGCGAAGGAGGCAGAGGAAGCTAAGGAGGTAAATTTTCTAATTCTTATACCCTCAAACAGAAATGTCACACTATGTAACACGAAGTAAAACTATTTGTGTTTGCAGACAGAAGGGACATCTTCTGTGCGGGGTAAGCAGGTGTATCGAAGGAAAAAAAGCGGTTCACAGTCCCAAGTGGAGAAGGAGGCAGCTGACGAACCCCAGAAGAGGAAGATAAAACGTTTCCACCATGTGCGACCTCCTTATACAAAGGAAAGGGCCAAGAAGGGCAGGAAAAAATAGTCCAGTTGGACTTAAAACATTTTCTATTTTGGCTTTCAGTATGAGTTAGAACTAAAACTCGAATGCTGATATGTTGTTTGGATTTAAAGTTTGGATTTAATGTTTGGTTTTAAATGTATTTCATTTGGTATAGTGTTTTAATTTGTTTGGATTTGGTGTTTGGATTTAGTGTTTTGATTTGTGTTTGACAAAGTAATAAGCAAATGAAAACACTAAAAATAGTTATAAAACATTGAAGTGCAAGGCATACATTTTAACTACTTAAACACTAAAATAAATATTTTCAAACTAAGAGAATTCATACATTAGTAATACTAATTAAAATATTATTGACAAGCAAAATGGAAACATTAGTGTTGAATAACAATTAAAATAACAATTAAAAGAAATTACAGGTTCGTTAAGTCTTGAGCTTGGCTATCTCTTCGGCTTGGATCTGAATCTGTTTTCGCTTTTCTTCAATCATCTTGATCTGCTCTTCAAGTTTCAGAACTAGCTTCTCAATCTCTTGTTTGACTCCGAAAATCCATGGCTGACGAAAGTGGAGTCCATCATCCTAGCAAAAAAACAAAAAGAATGAGCAACATCCATTATAGTTATACCTAGTATTCTAAGTTTTACACCCGAAGAACATCTAAATAGTTTAACCTAGTTTTACTAGTTTTACCCAGAAAAAACTCAGATCTAAAATTTAGAGATTATACCTTAAATTTAGTGCAGGTGAAGTACCTACTGCCTGGTTGAGTATCGAAATCGTGTTTAAATTTTGGAGAAGGAGATACATTGTGCTTGATAGATCCACCATATGGGCATCTTCTCGGAATCCCATATTGGCCGTCGGCGACGAATCCAGCCATGTCTCAATGCTGCTTCATCTTCTCCATTTCCTTGCGGCGCGTCTTCTCTTCCTTCAACTCCTCCTCATATGGGTCGATGAGTAAATTGTCTGTGTAGTGATAGCTACAATCCGAATCCAGTTGTAGAGAGAGATGAGAGATCAATTTTAAGAGAGAGAGAGATCGACTAACCTAAAGAGATAAGAAAGAACGAACCGAGAGAGAGAGAGAGAGAGAGAGAGAGAGAGAGAGAGAGAGAGAGAGAGATGAGGAAACTCGAATCTGAGAATTGAAAAAAATCCCTAGGACCCCGATTTCTATAATTTACCCTAAACTGGGAAAACCTGTCCTGAATTTCCAAAAATTTCCCGCTCCTACCACGTTTGCCACCAAAATAACACGTGCGTCGTTTTTTGCTTACGTGGACGCCGCCAAAATTACACTTAGTAATCCATAGTTTTTTTAGTTATACTATTTTCAAATAGTTGTACTTTTGGGTGTTTTTAACTTTATATAGTTATACTCCGCAATAAATTTCCTGTTTGTAGTTTTACAGATGATTTTAGTCCTTTTATTGTTAAGCCTGAGGGTTTTATACATTAAAAATGTTTTAAAACTCATCGTATCTGTCTATGGCTTCATATGGTAGTTAGTATTTAGAAAGCGTTCATAAAAGTGTATGGTGTTTGTTGTGTAAATGTTCTTTATTTGATTGTTTCATATTGAATGTAGATTTTCCTAATAATTTTAAAAATAAAATATAACTCTAAATAAATTAATACAAGATTTTTTCATATCGAATGTTTGAAATTCAATTAAAAACAAATCGACTCTTGAATATAATAAAAAAAATGATTTTTTCATATCGAATGTTTGCACCAGTTGTTCCAAGTGTTCCGAATACACAAAATAAACACAAACGAGCTTTACAGTTTGACCAGCCTCATTATTACCACTAAAAAATATGACCACATCCCTCCTCTTCCTCCCCCTCTCCATCTTCTTCGATGTTCTCCAGCTGATGGGAACTGGTTTTCTTAAGGTCTTCCTTCCTTTGCGACATAATCTGGTGGTATGACAACCAGGTTTTGTATATGCTCAGGAATAATCCAATCAGACCTGTGTGGTACTGGGTAAATTGTCCTGCAATACGCTAATGTTCATAGCTCTATCCAATAATATTTCAAGCAAAACTCTTGTAGATGAAGTTCCCGGCCTCCGCTCATAAAGATGGCAGCAGTTATTACATGCACACATGGGTATCTGTCTATATCAAAACACTTGCAACTACAGCTTTTCCTTTTCATATCAACTAAATAGCACTTGCCGTCTTTTCCAATGACATTGAATTCAAGGACGAAGGCGTTCAACTCATGCACCGTTAATTTATTCGCTTCCGGTGATCTTTTATATAGTTTTTTCTCCACATAAGGCACAAGCTTCTGGGTGCTTGATTGATACTTCATAAGAACTGTTCATATGCTTGTTAAACCATTCAGCCAGCTTATCAACAATCACATCAATCATTGGTAATAGAGCGTACTTCCTTACTTTCCTAAGAACACCATTAATAGATTCTACAATATTGGAGGTGTCTATGTTGTACCTTTTTCCTGAAAAATAGCATCTTGTCTATTTGTCCACAGGAACACTACCATCGAGATACTGGGCTGCGGAAGGATACTTGGTTCTAAAAGCATCAAAAAGTGTCAGGAACTTACTCTCTGTATACGCATGAGTGCATTCTTTAAACTTTATAACGCATATATCTTTGTTGACGTCGTAGACATTCGCTTTTACATTTTGAGACAAATGTTGAATACAATACCCATGCTGAGACAACGGAAACACCGCCTGCACAGACTTGATGAGGCTTGAGTTTCTATCAGAAAGAAACATCAATTCAGGATCATCCGGTATCACTGATTTCAACATGTTCATAAACCACATCCAACAAGATCTTTCTCACCGTCAACTACACCAAACGCAATTGGATAATGGTGATGATTAGGATCTTGAGCTGTAGTAACTAACAAAACACCACCATATCCAGTCTTAATGTGGGTTCCATCCACAACAATGACTTTCTCATGATTTGGAATCCCTTAATGCTAGCTCCTAACGCAAAGAATAGGTACTTGAACTTTTTGTTTTCGTCCAATTCCACATAAGTCCGTGTACCAGGATTCATCGACTCCAGCATGTACATATAGGAATACAACAACTGGTAACTCTCGGCTGGACCCCGCACATCATTTGCAGCTTTTTTTTTCCCCTCAAAGCAGTAGAGTATGATACTTTTACCCCAAGTCGTCCTTAAACCATATCGATCAGATGTTTTGGAGTTGGACTGTCAAATTTACCCGGATAATCTTTATGCACAACAGATGCAACCAATCCAGGTGTCTCTTTCCTTTTATTCCTGACTGTAACTGCAGAAGCTCGAGAGAATGTACGCATTTTGTTGTAAGTTCTTACCGAGACACAATCTGATCTACTTTGCAGCTCGTAAAGACCACTTGCAACCATTTTTTGCTTCGCAATATTTCACCACATATCGCTTTTTGTCAGACTTGATTGTATCAACCTCAAAACAATTCTGATGTGAGCCTACATGAACTAAATCTTGCATTGTCTTCTTACTTCTAAATTCTTGATCTACAATCATTGCAATACCATCTTCCCAGCCATTATTTAACGCTACTTCTTCTATAGCAGGTCCATACTCAGTATCATCAACCTCTTCCCTAGACACATTTCTTTGTTCTGCTTGATAGCATTCTGATGGTTCACCTCCAAGAAGAGTAATTATACCAGCATTAACATCCATACCACTTGAAAACACCTGCTCATTACTTGGACCATTTACACTTTCGCGATCCTCTCTTGAAGGTCGCACAACACCTTGATCGACATCTTCCGCGATCTCCACGTGCAAAACACTTCTACATGTATCGTTATTCACTTGCATCAGGTAGCCAAAAACATTCTCATCATTCTAGATATATGATGGCTTAGGATCCACTACCAATGGAAAGTAATTGACTTTCAGCTGTGTATTAGCTTCATATATCTTCATCTTCCTGCATATTCCACTGATCAACCCAGCATAAGTTACCTCCTCAACAGACGTCTTCATCACTAAGGTGTGAATTTCATCTTCTTTTGATGAAATTCACTGAGGTGTGAATTTCATCTCATTGTATCTGCTTCTTACAGCTGTAAGAAGCAGATACAATGAGATTGTTATTGTGGATACTATTGCTTCAAGATACCTTCTCCTTGATTCAACTAGTGAGATTTTTTAACACTAAGCCCTTAAGTTTGTATTATCAAATCCTCTGTTTTTGTAATCTGATTTTCTTTTTGTCACTATGTAGAGAATGTGCATAGTGTTATCAGTAAAGGAGGCCAAAATTGGACTGGATCCTATTGGGTATGTTAGATTTTTCCCATTATGTCTGTTTCTCTTTTTAAAAATGTGATTTTGTTGAATTCTATCAATATTTTGTTGCAGGAGGAGTCTGCGAGTTTACCTCCTATTATCCCTAATGGTCCCATTGCAATCTATGGATTGGTGAGAACTATCTGATTAATCCATTATCATCTCAAATTGTCTTGAGATGTACATGAAAAATGTGATTTGTTAAAGATGTGATTACTTTTGTTAATAGGGTGCTGGAACATCTGCAAGATTGATGCTTGGTTGTGGCCTTCTATGCAGCTTGACGGTGGGAAATTGATGAAATTGTATGTTATATCTAATCTTGATGATGTTTCTTGCAAGCATTTTCGTTTGCGTAGAGCTCACTGATGGTTTCTTTTAATGGATAGTAGGTTATTGAGAAAGCAAGAGACTATCTCGGTCTATCAGATCTCGAGGAACCAACATCAAAAGGCGGTAAGCTTTGTGTTCATGTAGATGATGCTCTCTCTGCTTCTCAAGATGCTTCAGGAAGATATGCTGTGAGAGTTCTAAGATTAATATAGTATGGTCCCCTCTCATTTTGTTTGAATTCTTATGTAGACAAGAAAATGCTTTTAGCAATCATCGTTGATTTGTTCTCTCATGGAAAGGTCTTAGATCATCTTCAAAAGGTATTTTACAATAGTCACATATATAGACTCTTTATGCGGTGTTGAGTTTTTTTTTAAGTTTGATTTTGTGTAGGTTCCAAGATGGCTTGATTTAGCTAGCAGGCTAATGCCTAACGGTCGCATGATGGTGAACTGGGCCGGAATCGAAGCGGAAAGAGTTGTAACAAATGGGAAAATTGAGTTGGTTTTAGGTGATTCGGTTTGGATGTTGAATTCTACAATCAAGATTTTGTCAGAAGCGTTTCCTGGACAAGTAAGTTAGCACATTTTTAACTTTCTATCTTTTTTGTTACTTAGCTTGTAAAATATTTGATTTAACATTTTTCGGATTTTTATGGATGCAGGTTAGCTGGAAGAGAACTCCGGATTCACAAGGTCTTAACTTTGTTGCCTTAACCGGAGGCTTACCTGATCTTAGTGACTGGTCCAACAATGTTCCAGTTCGTATGAGCGAGACAGTGAAGCAATGGAAACCCTGCGTGAACCCTTAAGAGTTAAGACGCGTACTAAAGCCATGACATCATCATGCTTACAAACAATTCTTCAATATCTCTAATAGTTTTTTGGGTTAATTTGTAATCTAACCATATTTGTGAAAAAATACAAGAATATAGCCATGGTATTCAAAAAATATGAAAAATAACCATACCCCTTATTAAAAAGACTAAAAACTCCTTTTGTTTTAAACTGAAAACATATATAGAAAATAGTTTTGACTATAGCAAATGTTTTTTTCCGGACTATACTATAATATATGGTCTTACATGACAAGATTAATATAGTATAGTACTTGAGATTTTAATTATATTTACTATACTATATTAAAAAGAGAAAAAAAGAGAAAACAACGAGAGAGGAGGGGAGGAGGCGAGGAGAGGGGAAGGGAAGGAAGGGAGATGGGATGAGTGGAGATGAGCAGAGGG